AGAGCAGCTGTGGATGCCCCATCCCTGGAGGGGTTCAAAGCCAGGCTGGATGAGGCTTTGGGCAACCTGGGCTAGTGGGAGGTGTCCCTGCCCGTGGCAGGGGGTGGCACTGGGTGGGCTTTAAGGTCCCTTCCAACCCAAACCCTCCTGTGATTCTGTGATTTTAACCTTTTGCTTGTGGTGTCCCATTATCGTCTCCCCCTGCTCCAGGAACCACACACAGTCAAGTCGCCACCAGCCTGCATCTCCAGCATTTAAATCCCTTTTTTTTTTTTCCTCTCTGTAGCTCAGAGCTATTTCCTAGAGAGCAGCAGCACCTGGCTGCCAAGTGGGGAGATCTTCAAGAGGGAAACAGCCACAGCGTTGCTTTAGATAACACAGCAGAGGAAACAGAAATCTATTTCAGAAAAGGAGCAAAACTGACCCCACTCAAGCAACGACAGAGCACTTCCCTGGCTAGGGACAGCAGTTGGGGGGATTAAGGAAACAGCAACAGGAAGATCTGGTTGGTCTTTAAGGAAAGTTGGAATACTACAGGAAGCAGGAGACAGCCCAAAGGGCAGGCGAGCAGCAGCCAGGGCAGTGGTTAGGGATGAATTGCACACAGGAGCGAGACGGTGGCTCCTGAGGCCTCCCTCCCATCAGCCAAAAGGAGCATCAGCATCCAGCGCAGCTCTCACCCGCACTCCAGTCCCTCTCCAACCGCCTCTCCTCTCCAGCAGGAAGCGTGAGCCCTCTTCACTCCTCCCCCAGGAGAGCAGATCAGACAGGAGCGCTGGTTTCAACAGTGCTCAGGAGTGCCTCGAAGAGAGGCAGCAGCAAACACAAACTGCAAGAACGAGGCGAGTCTAGACAGCAGGGCTCCTGGGAGCTGCTCCTGCTGTGCTAACCAGTTACACCCAACCCCGAAAACTCTCCTTGTGATGCTCCAGATGCTGGATTAAGAGAGCTCAGTGCTGACCTGACTGTAGCAGACACACTCAGCTGTGAGCTGCCCTCCCCTCAACTGCCTGAGATCCCACGCTGGTCCCCAGCAGCCCTGCTCCCACCCTGGCAACTTCTGAACTTTCCAAAACTCGCTCAGAAAAGGATTTTTGTAGTCAAAAGGCTCTGTGCCCTCAGAACCTTTCTGGTGAAATTTCTTGGGTGGTACAACTGCCAGGAGCAGTGATTAGACCCAAGTCTTCCTTTGGAAGGGGAGAGAGCTGCTTCCCAAGGCATTGGCTCCTCATGAGAGAAAAAAGGAGAAGAAACAGGGCAAGTGCTGGACTGAAAAACAAGACAAGAGCCCAAGCCTTACCTTCTAGCAGTCCCAACTTTGCCCTGGGAGCTTGGCAGACCTTGATTGCACGTTACTGAAACACAGACTTGGCATTATTACTTCAGCCCCTTCCTCACATTTACCGTCAGCCCAAAGCTTCAAAATGTCACAAAGGAACAGACACCCCTGCCCCGAGTCAAGCACGGTCACCCCGGCAAACACAGGGCTCTGGTACATGCCTCCTTTTATACAAGAGCCTGCCTTCCTTCAGGAAGTAATCGCGTGCAGGAGGTGCAGGGCTCAAAAAAAAAAGCCCCAGCCTCCAGCTGTTACACTTCACTTTTAATCAAAAAAAAACCCTACTCCCAAGATACCACTGCTCATTTCTGTGACATTCCACATTTTATTGAGTTTGGCTGGATTCAAGGGTTAGTTGTATGGTACATGAAATTCAATAAATATTTAAGAACTGGATGATGAAACCCCCATCGCATTAGAGCGGGGAGTTAAGTACATGGACAAGTAAAAATTTATTATTTTTAAAAGATCAAATAACTAGCTGGGGTGGAGAAATGCAACTCTTGAAAAAAAAAAAAAGATGGCGTGTGCACTTCAGAAGGCTTTCTGGCCAAGGACAGCGTGTAAGGCCCTTACCAGAAAACTCACCGATAAATTAGAGGAGGTTTTTAATACAGAATGAAATGCACTGCGGCAGTCCTGCCGCTTCCTGGTCAGAACCGAAAAGGAATATTTACCGAGAGTAATTCTCTGCCCTGTCAGGCTGGATGGAGAAGATGAACTCTCCAGGTAGCAACGCACCTACCACTAGTCCGCTCCCTTAAAAAGCTCTTTGGAAAAGGACGAGGAGGGGACAAGGGGAGTAAGAACTGGTGGGAGAAGGGTCTCGCTGGCAGACGTGCACACGCTCCAGCTTTCTAAGCTGAACAGAAATTGCTCCTTTGCCAGGACAGGCAGCACAGCGAGCGTCCAACACACCCAGCGTAAGGATGTGGAAAACATCCACGGATGCTGTCTGACCACAGCAGAGGAGGAGATATCAGTCGGGTCTGCTGCTGTCTCTGAAGGCATGAGTAACAGTCTCCAGTAAATGAATTGTCTGAAGTCCCCAGGACAGATCTGTGAGGTAAGTGGCAGCAGCACTTTCCCTGTCTGTCCCGGAGAAGTCCTGCCCACAGGGTTCAATGTAAGACCATGCAAGAGCACTTAAGTTTTGGGGAAGCCCAGCTACTAAAGCAAAATACAAACTTCTTATGCAGCCTATCCATACCTCTGCACCAACCCTGACGGGATGGGGAATATGATACGCTATGGTGACCGCCCTCCGGCCACAGGGCCAGCAAGCCGCTACCTCCTGACGTTACACTAGCTGCTGCTATCTCAGCAGGACTCCAGGCAGGCGGAACGGCTTTGCTGGCGCTGCAGATCCTTTAGGAGCCGCACATTATACACTCATCCCGGTTCTCCAGGGAGCACACCATGGCTGCTTTGTTCCTCTCCTTCTCCTCGTCCCTGGAGGCCTTCTCCCGCTCTCTGAGTTTCTCTTTGTTGAGGGTGAACTGGATGGGGTTAGCAGCCGGTTTGGTCCTTAGGTAGTACATGCCAGTCTTCAGACCCTGCGGAGAAAAAGCGGGAGTTTGAGAGCTGGAATCAGCCGGCAGTCAGGCAAACACCACAGCCAAACTCTGACCCGCTGGGGCCAACCTCCCTCAGCCCGTACCCACCCCACCAGCCCCACAGCGAGGTCTAGTAGTGAGGAATAACGGGTGCAACGCCACCCAGCATCGCAGCTTGATTGCTCTAGAGAGATATTCCATAGTAAGACTGGATTCTTGGAAGGAAACAACCGTTTACTGTTCCAAGAATCAGTGAGACCAACTTTTAATGAAAGAACTTATCAGCCCCCGTTTGCTATCTGTTGCAAACAAGCCCCCCACCCCTCCCCGATACCTGCTTCCACCCATAGAAGTGCATGCTGGTGAGTTTGCCGTAGTTGGGTTCTGCGATGTGGATGTTGAGAGACTGGCTCTGGTCAATGAACGCTCCTCTGTCTGCTGCCATCTTTTTTTTCTGGGAAATCTCCCACACTGTCTTATAGAGCTGCTTCAAGTCCTCAGGAATCTCAGGGATATTCTGCAACAAACAGGAAGAGTGTTTCCAACAAAGTGTAACCAGCGACTGCCCGAATGATAATATTTATAAAACCAAATTCTTCATCAATTGCTGAGACTTCGGCAATCCTGACTAGAACGAAGGCTTTTTGCTGATGAACTCTAACACAGAATCCAAGCATTCTGCATCTGAAAGCGCCCGAGCACACAGAAACCTTGCCTGCTGAAGCAGGACAGCTTGTTCCGGGGAATCTGAGAGAAAAAGCTGTGTGCAAACAGGCCATTACTGCTTTGTCCTAAATAGTTGGGAGTTCCTATAAATATCAATCCAGCAGCTAGTACTCACCCCAAAATTCACAGAATCATGGAATCACAGAAGGGTTTGGGTGGGAAGGGACCTTAAAGCCCACCCAGTGCCACCCCCTGCCATGGGCAGGGACCCCTCCCACTAGCCCAGGTTGCCCAAAGCCTCATCCAGCCTGGCCTTGAACCCCTCCAGGGATGGGGCATCCACAGCTTCTCTGGGCAACCTGGGCCACTGCCTCACCCCCCTGCACAGGAAAACATTTCTTCCTCACATCTCATCTCCATCTCCCCTCTTGCAGCTTCAACCCCTTCCCCCTCGTCCTGTCCCTGCACCCCCTGATCCAGAGCCCCCCCATCTCTCCTGTAGCCCCCTTTCAGCACTGGAAGGTGCTGGAAGGTCTCCCCGGAGCCTTCTCTTCTCCAGGCTGCACCCCTAACTCTCTCAGCCTGTCCTCGCATGGGAGCTGCTCCATCCCTCAGACCATCTCCATGGCTCCTCTGGCCCCGCTCCACCAGGTTCACGACAAGCAGGATGCACTCTTTTAGCACGTATGACTCCACGCACAACAGTCACAGCACCATTTCAAACTCCACAGCCTAAATGATTCATCCCACACAGACTCTTCTACATGTCACTTCTAGATCAGGATGTCATATACTCAGCTCCTGCCTCAAGCCTACTCCCTGCTATGAAATTACCTCGTTATCATCTCTATGCTAATGGGAATCCAAACCTTTGCAGCATCTGCATAAAGCAGCGCAGCCTGACTCGGTATCAGTTCTAGCAATAATTAGCGGTACATTTCTGTTGGGCTTCTGCATGACACAGGCAGGCTCCAGCAGGAACAAATTACTGGAGGTCAGACACATCCCCTCATATTTCTAAGGGAAACACTACGCTTTACAGCTTCTCCTCCCTGGGCGAGCCAAGTCACTGGGATACAGCAGACCTCCAAAGCCTCGGGTGGCAAATCAACCCCCCAGCCAGCTTTTCCCATTTTCTTGGTTTCTCACACGTACCTGGATAGAGCCATTGTGGGCAATGATTTGGTTTTTCATCTCCTCATTCCACAGGCCCCTCTCTGTGAGATCTTTCAGCAAGTGCGGATTCACAACCTGCGAGGGGTGAAAGCCAAAGAGTGAAAGCGCTGGATATCCTGCCCAGCTCTACGCCCTGCTTTGCAGCACAGAGACACCTTTCTCCAGGAGGCAAATCCACCCTGATGTGCAGAGGGTTTTAAACGGTGAAACGAGACCTTGTACAGCACTGACAAGCTCTCATTCTTCAGCCAGCACTGAGGCATGCACGCAGATGGTCAGACCAGGGTAACAAACGCGGGATGCTGCTGGCCATGGCAGAACACAGAAGGCTGTCTGCAATGCCTGGCTGATGCCAAACTCGTCGGACAGTAATGGGAGAAGTTACTGGACATTACAAATGTGAAAGGGGAGCGTATGGACCTCCCCTGCATGAGGAACGCCAAAAGATGTGAAAGAGAGAGATCTTGACTTACCAGGGCCATTGGCCACAACTTGAGTTAGTAAATACAGGTACAAACAATCATCAGGAGTGGGGTCAGACAGGGAAAGAACAAAACAGGTGCAGGCTGTTTATTTGGGAGCAAAAAAACAGTGAATGTTTGCTTGCTGGGACTGCTTGGGGATACCTGTCCAGCAGCCCTGCACCTCACCTGCACAGCGGAGCAGGTTAGTAACCTGTTGTTCTGACTACATGCCTGATTTGATCCTGCAGGCAGGAGGAAACGGCGTGCTTTCCCCGATATCGATGAGGGGACACCCCAGAGGGGATGTAGGACAGACCAGACCTCCCTAAATTCAATATTCCTCTTGTCTCACATAGAGTTCTTTGCTCACTCCAACCTCCAGAACTCAAACTGGTTCATATTCTTTCCTAAATGACAGATCCCTTGGCATCTGTGAAGCTTTTACGTGACCTCTTAAGTTACAAAGTGTGTGGCCTTCATCTTTTCTTAGCAGTGACAGTCATCAAAGATGTGAAAACAGAAAAGCTTTTTCCCACAGCTGCCTCACTTACCTGAAACTCTCCGGAGAGGACTCGGCGTGTGTAGATGTTACTGGTGTAGGGCTCGATGGATTCGTTATTGCCCAAGATCTGAGCGGTAGAAGCAGTTGGCATGGGAGAAAGGAGAAGGCTGTTTCTGACGCCGTATCTGGTAACAATAGTCCAGAGTTAGAAAGCTCCAACCGAGTGAGACGAGACAGAAAAGACCCAAGAACAGCACAGTTTATACACTGGAGACAGCTAGGAGAGCCACGGTAAGGAACTCAGAGCTCACATGCTCAGATATCTCCCCTTCTCAGGGTAACCTGCAAACCCCCAGATTACCTGCAGTAAAAAAGGGGGAGCTCCACTAAACTTGTAACGTGGGTCAACATGGAAACATAACTAAAGGCTTTGCTATTTTCAGCTTTAACCAGAAGCTTTCCCAAATTATTTAAGTCATGAGAAAGGGTGCAGAGAAAAAAACATAACTCCACAGCACACACAGGCAAAAAAAAAAAAACTAGTAGTCCGTGAAGCGCCTGAGACCTCTCCATACGCAAGGCAGTAGACAGATTTACTAAATTTAAAAATTAAACCCACACAAACCGAACAATTTCATTACAGACACTTCACAATTTCATGATTCCTGTCTTCAGGATGTTCGAGGCTCAGCTGCTTTTCCTGGTGAGCTGGGGAAGGAGTTCCCAAGCCCAGCTGCCTCGGCCTCACTCATCACTACATTTGTTTAACTGGAACACAAACCATCCTGCTGAGGTATCCAAGGTGAAATAAGAGCTCAGATAAATCAGAGGAGGTGGGCTCTCTCTGTCTTGTAAGAACAAAAATGAAAGGCGGCCATCCAGAAAAGAGGTTTGAAGAAAGATCTACGGGGTTGGAGGGAAACACATTTTCACACTTGCTCCCTATCTTTTGTTTTCAGTCAGTCAGAACATGTTGATTGTCTTTTACATCTAATACAAACTGTGCAAGACTACTCACTTAGCGATCTTCTCCTTTAAAGTCTTCCAGTCCCAAAGATCAGATGGGGTGACATTCCACATGTCATACTGAAGAACCTGAAGAACACGGGTGTAGCGCAAATTAGACAGGGCGCAATTTTCTCCATGTTTTATACATCACGTTGTAAATTCACCCGTTATTTCTATTCACTATTCTCTACAATTCAGCCTCAGTGAAGCTCCTGTATCATAATCTTACAAACATGAAATCTTTAATTGTGGTAAAAGGGACAACCAGCACAGGCTGAGTCTTGATTTTTCTTTTTTCTCTGCACCGCAGTTTAACTTAAGCATTTCTTACTGCACTTAAGAACCACAGAATGGTTTGGGTTGGAAGGGACCTTAAAGCTCATCGAATCCCACCCCCCCTGCCATGGGCAGGGACACCTCCCACTAGCCCAGGTTGCCCAAAGCCTCATCCAGCCTGGCCTTGAACTCCTCCAGGGATGTGGCAGTTCCCGGTACTCACTCCTTTGCTGACAGGAGAACCCTCATACGTTTCGTACGGCCCTTGCTCCTTGGCAAGTTCACAGCTGGCTTCCAAAGCACCATAATAAATGGTCTCAAAAATTTGCTGGTTCAAGCGCTGGGCCTCAGGGCTTTCAAAGGGGTACCGCATCAAGATGAAAGCATCTGCCAGACCCTGCACGCCGATGCCAATGGGCCGATGGCGCCTGTTGGAGCGTTCAGCCTGCACGG